CCGCAAGGTTGCCCAGGCCACCCGAGAAGAGTCTGAAGATGTTTCTCTATGAGGCCTACTCTGGCTAATCCAGAGACCAGGCTCCCCAGGATCCCAGATATCTCCAGGGAACAGGAGAGCCCTTGCCCAAATCAGCTAGGAGTCAGGAGTTAAAGTTGGCCATGAACTGGTCATTGCCTTCTCCTCACTCCCTGCTGATTTGCTCCAGAATACTTCCAGTCAACATCCAAGGAGTACCATGAATTCAAGATGAACAAAGAACTCGCCCAAATGTGACTAGAAACATTCAAAGAGATATTCCTGACCTCCCACTAATTACTAGAAATGAAAAAATTTAAGAGGCCAGGTCGAGGTTCAGTCTGGCGGATATATCTATGTAGATATATCATTCTTCTACCAGACGTCTCCCCTAAGGCAATGCAAGAACCAAGCAGACATCATCCTTATCAGGGATAACCGTTGGGAGCATTACCCTGAAGAACAGGAGACCCTGGTCCATTGACCAGGTGTTGAGACGCAGCATTTCGGCAATGGTGATGACCATTTGTTTGTTTGTGTTTTTCTTTGTTTTTGTTTGTATATTTTTATTCAGAATTTGATTATCTGATGTCTAAGTTGTTTTTTCCATACTTTGATTATCATATTTAAGCTTATGAAGCCCTTTAAAATCGTGTTTTATTAGAGAATAGACCATATGCAAATGACTCATTAGTATTCGTGTTTTTAGACCAATCCTGTGTGTCCTCAGCTGAGTGTGCTTTCGGTCAGGTTTAATCCTTTATATCTCGGCCGTTTTTTAATGTTTTGGTTTAATTTTTTCTGCATTTTAATCGGTATATTGTATAGAATAAGTGTTGAGCAAATAAACTGTCATTACTGATCAAAAATATTTCTGTGAGGTTACCGTTTATGAGGAGTACAGCTGATTTAGTGTGGTAATTCACAATCTGTGTATACAGATTATTGTCTACTTTAAGATAAACTGATTCATGCAGTTTATGGGAGATGATAGTGCTGAAGTGGGCATGTCAATGATATGATATGATAACTCATACACATCTCAGTTGTGTGTTTGGGTTAGTATGAATTATCAGTGTACAAACAGTGTACATAATAAAATAGAGAAACAGAAAATACAGAAACATACCAGCAGCAAATATTTAAGATCAGCATGGTGAGGTGTGTACACAATGGCTGGGAGTAAAGAAGATAGAGGTGGAAATGAAACCAATTTAAATGGCTTTAGTTCTGTGAGAGAGTTTGCTGAGGAATTAAATACGTTTTACTTAAGGTTTGATGAGGGTGATTCTAAGTCAGAAATTTGACATTTTACAACAACACCTGTCATGTAGTAAATCCGTAAACATTAGTAGGACTCAGGTCAAAGACCTCTTTCAGAGAATTAATACTAAAAAAAAGTCCGGGCCCAGATAATATTGGTGGTAAGGTGCTGCATATATGTGCTGAACAACTTTCTGAAATATTTCATTTCATTTTTTC